ATAGAACTCGGTCTGCCATGTTTTGCTCGGTGACGGTTATAGATGGCTCCAGATCAGCAAAAAGTCGATGCCTCCTAGCCCGGTACACAAAACCTCCAATTTCTCCCCATTTCGTCCTTAAGTACGCCCGCAATGCGTTGCTATTTATCTGCGTTGTCCAGCGCATGCGGCGTACTCCACCAGTGTTGGGTGCTAATTGCTGGGCCCGAAAAGACCCTGCCGACACCAAGCCAGGTCGTGCAGCACCTCGCGCTCGGCTGGCGGTTTGCATGCTGTCGCGGCCAGAGCCAGCTCCAGACGCGCCCTGGTGACCTCCAGGCAGCGGCCCTTTGTCGTTCTTCTGTTTTCCATCATGCATTTAATGGGTATCAGTTAACGGGAGACGCCCAGACGCGGCATCGTTTATGGTGAGGGCATGTGCACAAGGTGGTCTTTGGACCTTCAATTTCACCGTGGAACGGTGCTAACACCTCTTGGCCAGGTGCTGACTGACTGCGCTGACTTAGCAGTTTTGTCACGTAACCATTACGTCAGCGGGCGATGGTATAGTCAGTTCCCTACGTCATTTTTATTATCATTATTATTATTTATTATATTTATTCGTAATCACGTTCCCAAAAACGGTTCCAACGATTTCGATGAAATTTTCAATGTAGATAATTAAAGGGGTGAAATATTGATCATTCTCGAACATTTCATTTCTGGTAAAATAAGTTGTCTCCGTGTTTTCACGCACAAAGCAAGAAACTTGGCTTGCCCGCTCAATACGTTTGATATGTATATCGCCATTGATATAACTTCCTTTGTAGCCCAATGTCTAGAACGTAGGTTTACCACGCCGGAGTATAAGATTTGGAGTCTTGTAATGTCATCAGATTTATTTAGGTTTTATTTTTTATTCCTTTAAGTATATTGCACACGATCCCACAGCAGAATTAAATAAATGGTATAATATAGTATAATACATTTTTTTGTTTGCGGAGAAACGTATATATGGTATACGGTGCTATGCGAACTTTGTAACCGTGGCGTCAAAGCTTACGTCAGAATAGTAAGTATTCTGACCTAAACTTTAATAAAATAATTATATTCGTAAACAATAAAACCTATTTAATACTTTTTGGATAACAAAAAAAAACAATAGTTTTTATTGATTTATTTCTATAGAATAGAATAATTTTATTCAATATAGATTATTACTATATAATGGGAAAGCATTGCCACTACTGAGGTCAATGGGATGCCCAGAAGGGCTTTACAGAAAAATAATATCTGTAAACACTGCCGTAATAAATAATGGTAAGATGCCACTCAGCATATAATGTGAACAGTCGCTGTATTGAATGTGATTCAGAAATTATTGTATCGTCCAATTTCAACTACTGTGAAATTTGCGAATAAGAGACAAGACATTATTTAGGGCAAATAAATTTTGTAAGAGTCTTCATGGATGACACGTTTTAGCAGCTTTTCGTAATGTAATTTTTGAATCTGCATTTTTCACTTGACTGGGAGTTTGCGCGAGGTGTCGCGGATTATTTGTTGATTTCCTCCAGTCGAGATCTTGTTCTTTATTCCTTCTAGTCCTCTTGTAGAAGATTCTGTTAAGGATTATGGGGATAATTAAAGATATAATACTTTGAACCTAAACGTGCTTTTTATTAACCTCAAAACAACAACATGGACAGCCTATAACATCATATTATTGAACCTTCCTTCATAACAGACACAGTGTTGACAACCGACGCAGTGTTGCCATTAAAATACAATATTATATGAATCATTGTTAATTAACACCTCCTCCCAATGATTTATATTAACAGAACTAACATTACAATAATTTCAAACATTACAAGTTTAGCAAGTAAAGTTTACTCGAAGGTTTTGACACGTAGGATGCAAGAGAAATCGGAAAGATTTCTATGGGAGGCACAATGCGGATTTAGACCTGGAAGAGGATGCACGGATCAAATGTTTTCTCTCCGCATGATCACGGAGAAGCTTCTGGCTGCTAACCAGAAGATTTTCTGTGCTTTTGTGGATCTTGAGAAAGCATTTGATAAGGTTGTAAGGAAGAAAATGTGGGAACTGTTGCCGGGGTATGGTGTGGATGGTCGATTGCTAAGGGCTGTGCAGTCTCTTTACTGTGACTGTAAAGCCTGTGTGCGGGTAGGGCATGACCTGTCACCCATGTTTAACGTCCAAACGGGCGTAAAGCAGGGTTGTGTCATGTCTTCCTGGCTGTTCATACTGTATCTCGACAGCTGTTTACAGAAGCTGAAAGATAGTTGTTTGGGTGTGAAATTGGGTGACATTAAAGTAAATTGTCTGCTGTATGCTGATGATGCAGTGCTTATTGCACCATCAGAGGCAGAACTGCAGGCATTAGTCACGTGTATGAAAGAGGAATGTGAAATTAAAGGTCTCCGTTTGAATGCTAATAAAACTAAGGTTCTGGTATTTGAAAGGGACGAAGAGAGAACGAAGTGTGAAATATGGGTAAATCAGGAATGTCTAGAACAGGTAAATGAAATTGTATACTTGGGGAGTGCTTTTAGCCGGGATGGAAGATGTGATTTAGATGTGGACAGGCGTGTCGCTGCCGGGAACAAAGTCAATGGTGCCCTGACTGCGTTAGTCAAAAGGCAAGGCGTAGCGAAGAGTGCACGCCTTGCAATACATAACGCAGTGTTGGTACCGACTTTGTTATATGGCAGCGAAACCTGGGTATGCCAGAAGAAGCATAAAAGTAAGTTGAATGCAGTGGAGATGCGATCTCTTCGTAAAATGTGCGGCGTTACCATGGCCGACCGAAAGCGAAACGAAGAGATTCGCAATATGGCAGGTTTGAAAGATGACCTTATCACAAAAATTGATAAGGGCGTGCTTCGGTGGTTTGGGCACGTTGAGCGAATGAGTGAAGACCGAATGGTGAAGAAAATATATAGCGCGAAAGTTAATATTAAAAGGTCGACACCTTTTTATTAATTTTAAAAGGTGTGGAGGTAGACCGAGACTAACTTTCGAAGACCATGTGAGCAAATTGCTCGAAGAGGGTAGGGTCAAAAGTACTCGGATACCTAGACGTGCATGCATGAAGAAGATAATGAATCTGAAAGAAGCGAAAGAGGTTTGTAAGGATCGTGACACTTGGCGATCTGTTCTCTCTGGCTACCCCGTCAGGGATTGTGCGTGAAGATAAGTATAAGTATAAGTACAATGATTTGTATTAACAGAACTAACAAATTAAAAATTCACAATGCGAACTAAACTCTATTCCAATCCTAATTTATGTACAAAATAATTATGAGAGGTTTTATTTAATGGTTTCGTAAAAATATCAGCTATTTGTTGCTTTGTAGGTATATACATAACACAAATTTCCTTACATTCTATTTTATGTTTAATAAAGTTGTATTTAATGTCCACATGTTTCATTCTTTTTTGATCAGGATTACATACAGAAAATATTGTACTTTTATTGTCTTCATATATGGTAGTGGTATTACAACTAACGTCTAACTCATTTAATAATTTCCTAACCCAACAAGCCTCCAGAGCGGCTTCATTGAGGGAGTATGACTCTGCCTCAGTAGTGCTTAAAGCTACAGTGCTCTGCTTTTTGCAACGCCAAATAACACTGTTATCAAATACTTTAAATGCATAACCAGTTATAGATTTCCTATCTTTATCTACAGCAAAACAAGCATCAGCATATCCAACTAGTGGTTCGGAATTACAATTCTTATTATATTTTAAATTATAATTAATGGTACCCATAATGTATCTTAAAATCCTTTTCAAGCATTGCCATAACCATTCTGATGGTCTAGATTGATATCTCGCTAAATAAGAAACAGCAGCACACAAATCAGGTCTTGAACCTACTACAGCATAAATTAAAGAACCTATACAAGCTCTGCATTTATGCTCTAAAGAGTAATCAACCGTACAATCATCAAGATTTACATTAACTTCCATGGGTGATTCACTAGCATTTGCTTCAGTCAGATATAGCAAACTTTGTCAATATAGATTTTAAATACTCTTTCTGGTTAATATACAAACAGTAATTATCTTGAATAATATTAATACCCAGATACTTTAAATTTTAGATCCTAGATCTTTCATTTTAAATTCTGTACTTAAAATTTCCATAACATTATTTATCCTTGAACTGTCCTCACCTAAAATTAAATCACTTTCTGCTCTTTGAAACCCTTTACTTTTCATCATAAAATTTATTGTACCAATTTTTTGAAGATTTTTTAAGACCGTAAAGTGATTTTTTCAATTTCAAGACTTAATTTGTATTTATATTTACACCAGGTGGGAGCTTTAAGTATACAACATCATCGATTTCACCATGAAGGAAAGCACCTTAACATCCATTTGTTGAATTAAATAGTTCCTTTGAACAGCTTAAACAGAATTACTTAAGTTTGTAATTTCAAAACGAAAGAATAAATTTCGGTAAAACTACCTTCCTGTTGAAACCCCCTTGCAACTAATCTAACTTTATATACATTACCCGTCTTATTTGTAAAAATTTATCTACAATCAATTAACTTAGCATCGTTTGATCTTTCTACAACTTCCCAAGTCTTGTTATCCTCTAAAGATTTAATTTCTTCATTTACCGCTTCATACCACCTATCTTTATCGTCATAAGAATCTATATCATTATACTTTTCTGGGACATTACCATTAGAACAAGATGAAAATGATGCCATTAATATATCACCTAAATCTGAATCATCAGTGAAAAAATCTTTATTTTTTTTTGGTTTAGTTTTCTATCTATTCTCCCTAGAATTAACATTATCTGTATCCCTTCCCTCAGGTTGTAATGACTCTAAATTATTATCAGAAGTTAAAATTTTCTCAGTACCATGGGTTTGGGTTTTATCAGAAATTAAAGGGGTTCTGGTTTTCTCAGGACTACTACCACCATCCTTCTCCTTCCCATCCGAGATAGACTCCACGTCAATACTAATCGTTTAAGGGGACTCTGAACATGTTTCTTCCCTAAACAATACGTTTCGTTCTATGCGTATCTTCCTTTCATTAGCATCCCATAATCTGTATCCCCCCGGAGCATACCCAACCATTTTCAATTTCACACCACGAGGGTCCAACTTCATTCGGAGTTTTTGGGGAATATGGGCAGATGCAGATGACCCAAATATTCTAAAATTAGGCACATTAGGACGTCTTCCCTCCCACATTTCAAATGGTGTAACATTAAGGGAAGCAGTGGGACTACGATTATTGACATATACCGCATATCGCAGGGCCTCGCCCCAAAGCTCTTTAGGAAACTGTGAATCTAACAATAATGCACGCGCCTTTTCAGTCAGAGTACGATTCATTCTTTCAGCTACTCCGTTCATTTCGTGTTATTTTATGTAGCAGTATACTGCAATACTATGCCTTTTTCATCAGAAAAGGATTTAAAATTTCTAGAAATATACTCACCACCATTATCTGATTTTAACTTCAATATACTATGACCAAAATGATTATTAGCATAATTATAATAAGTCTTAAAATATTCAAAAACCTCAGACTTGTCTCTTAATAAGTAAACTGCGGTGAAGTGGGTAAAATCGTCTATGGTTTCTTGTGGTTCTTTTTCTATGACATCTGTCTTCTCCTTTTTACTATAGTGAAGAATTCGATTGTGTCTCGCGGTGGAATAAAAGGATGGTTTTTATTCCACACTTGATGGTTTTGCATCTGCGTGTTTGATTTCTGTATCGTAGACAGTGGAAACATAAATTATTTTTCTTTACGAGTTCCCATCTTTTGCCGACATTCGCTTCTTTAAATTTGTTGCAGTTGGATCCGTAGTGACCTTCCTTTTAGCACACTCTGCATTTCGAAGACGGTTTGGCAGTAGCTGCGTGGTCTTTGATTTGGTAGTAGTTGTTCTATGTACTAGACGGCGGTTGCTCTGCATTTCGTTGAAAATTTCTAGAGGCTCAAAAACAGTCGAGTTTTATTAACACTGTCTAACTAGCTGCTATTATCATCTGCTATGTTGTACTACTAGCTACCACTATCACTTATCTCTCTGCTATTATTAGCTAACTAGCTACTTCTATCACTTGTGTAACTGCAATTATCAGTTACTATGTTGTACAACTAGCTATTACTATCACTTGTGTAACTGCAAATATCAGTTACTACGTTATGCAACTAACTATTACTGTCACTTGTGTAACTGCAAATGTCAGTTACTACGTTGTGAAACTAGCTATTACTATCACTTGTGTAATTGGGAATATTAGTTACTATTCACTATGCTCTCTGCTACCACTAAAGCTACTACTTGTTACTACCATTTCTTACTAGTAGTTCTTCTTACTATCACTTCTTAATGGTAGTTCTTGTTACTACGGCTATCACAGGTAGTTCTTCATACTACAACGATACTGGGTCCCGAGGCCCTAAGGTAGACTTGAGCGTTACTTTAAACTGAGCCGCTTGACATTGTCCGTTTTGCCTCTTTATTGCATAACATTTTCTCTATACAATTGTCTTAAATTACAATTTTTTCCATACATGGTCAATTTCTACACTAATGTACTATTCATTGTTAAATCGGCAATTTAGTCCTTTATTAGTATACCATGAAGGTTTCTTAATATATTAACAATGTAAAAAGGTATTAACCAAAATATCCCAAATTTTCATTATATTTGGGTACATTAATTCTCTAATTTTAGTACAAATAGGAAATAAGTTTCATTACGCTAAATATTCTTTTATTTCCTTAATGTAACCTTCTTCTAATTTAATATCATGTTTATAATTCTTCTAGAGCATAAATATTATTTCCATCATTTTCGGGATCAACTATTACGCAGTTAATTAAAAACGCCTAGAAAGTTCTATAACATGTCACGCTCTGATTGATCGACTTTTTGTTTGTATAAATAAGAGTTATTTTCCTAACTATCATCAAATGATGCTCTATACTAACATATTAAGATTATAAATATGTAGCAAAATTATAATATTGTGCCGTTTACTTAGGTTTTTTACACTGCTCCTATATGTTCAAAACAAGACTGAACTCCAGTGCGTAGCATCAATACCTTCAGAGGCACTAAAAACCTGCATTTAATTCACCGCTTAAATAGCTTAAAGTAAGACAGACAGGAACTTAAACCTATGAAAACGAGATGAAGGAAATAAATAAGTCAATGAATTTTATCAATAACAAGTTTGAGGATATTGAAAAAGAACAGACAGAAGCCAAGAAAGCTAATAAGGAATTACTTGAGGATAACCTTAAAATGAAAAGTTTTGTTTCCGAACTTTACATTCGACTTATTTTTGCGGAACAACGTATTAACATAACAGAGAAACATTTGCGCGCAAATAATCTAGAACTTCAGCGTGTAGCTGAAAATAGAAATGAGAACTTGAATAGTATTTAAAGTTCGGAACGTCAGAGAGGACATCTGTTTTCGACGCCTCAGCAGTCTTGAAGATTCGGACCTGTACATCCTTTGGCTACGCGTAGACAGCGACGACCATCCGCGCGACTACGGGTGCCTCTATAGGTTCCATAGCGGTAATGCCGAAACAGACCGACTCATTAACCACGTCGAAATGGCTACAGATTTCTTGCTACAATAGGTCCTATCCACATAAATCGTGATCCTTGGCGATTTTAACGCCCACCACGCCGAATTGCTCGTTTCACGTTTAAACGATCATGCGGGGAGATCTATTCATGATTTTGCCTTGGCATATGATCTGACACAACTGGTTACTACGCCTACGCAGATTCCAGATATGGAGGATCATGAACCTGCAAAATTGGACCTTCTGCTGACCTCTCATCCGGGCAGATATCAGGTCTCCGTCGATGCCCCTCTTGGCTCCTCAGACCATTGTCTAGTACGGAGTGTGGAAAATAGCGGTTGCTTTCTGTAGACTGCCGCCGTGTTTGGCACTATAGGTCGGCCGATTGGGATAGGATGCGGTCTTTCTTTGCATCCTACCCTTGAGGGTTTGCTTCTCGCCGAACGATTCCAACGTTGTTACTAATTCTGTTGCTAATGTGGTACTTCAGGGTATGGAACTTTTTATTCCTTCCTCTGTGGTGCCCATAGGAGGCAGATCTCTGCCATGGCTTAGTCTCTCCTGTAAAATAGCATCACGCTACAAGGAGGAGTGTTAATGGGCCTGGGCTGACGCATCAACGTTCCGGGATGTAAACACCAGCGCCCATAAAAAGAAGTATAATTCCGCCTCATGGTCTTTCAAAAGAGTCATTGCCAACGCAAAGTCAGAGCATATAGGCAGAATTAGCGAGAAACTAGTTCGCCTTCCTTCGGGAACCCGTGCATTCTGGTCCTGGATAAAGTATATCTGTAAATAGGTTAAGAAAAGAGGCGATATGTCGCAATATGGCGCATTTATCATTTCCATGAACAACATCCAACAGTTGTTCGTTTGTCAGTCCACCTCGAAAATAGACAACAGAAAATGCACACGTGATAGCATAGTCACCACTGCAAACAACGTAAACTGCGTTTTTCTCATTGTGTAAAGATGATATCTTTGCAAAGACGCTACTTCACTCTGAAATGCCAACATAATACACATGGAATACTTTCGCGAAAAAGTTTCAGCGTCATAAACAAGTAAAGTAGTTGAAGTGTATTCCAATTTTGACTCGACGCGTTAGGCCGTCTATTCACTGTTCACCCAAACAATGCAGAATGCTTTTATAAGTACTCTTAATCAAGGTACGTGGTTGAACATATTTTCATGAATTGAAGACAGTAAATAGTAAAGTGTGTGCAACTTATCGTGAAGCTTGCCAATAATTAATTTTAGAAAACGATGCACGCTGGGTCACTTCACTCGCCGAGGCACCGGATACTGCTTCACCACAGCAAGTACGGAATTTACGAGTATTTGGAATCATATAAACAACGTGCTTCCTAGCAATCCAAAAGATCTTTGGGAAAAATACAAAGATTACTTGAGCGAAGAAATCCTTCATCGTTTGCGTACAACAAAACAAAATTCAACCTCATCAAAAAATCGAAAAAAAACATTTAATTCTCATCAAACGTTTATAATGAGGCATTGGTTTTGATTGAGGTCATATGTTTGGGAATCGCTAACAAATCACAGGTAAAATTGAGTATAGATGTGCGGAATCATATTTCGCGATCGATCTGCAAACGAACTTTTCGATCATGATTTGCAACACAGTTCAATGTTGACGAATTAGTTACATTTGTTCAAATGAATCTTTTGAAATTGATTCCTGCACAACGTGAAGCGTATTACAAAATTATGAATGCGATTAGAAACCAGGCACTGACAAAACTTTTCTTATTTCACATATTTTGGCAACTATACTTTACTTTGGCAAAAAAAAATATTGCACTTGCAATAGCCTCATCTAGAATTGTGCAACCTTTTTGGATGGTGGTCGAATAGCACATTCAGCTCTGAAGTTGCCATTGAATATACAAATCATTGAGGCACCAACATTCAATATCAGCAAAAATTCTGGATTGGGTAAAGTACTCCAATCATGTCAACTCATTATATGGGACGAATGCACTATGGAACACCAAAAAACTTTAGAAGCGTTTCATCGTACATTACAACTCTTTGCTTGCGGAGAGGAAAATAAACAGGAGATGGGCAGCATCATCTTCCTGACAACAGTTCAAAATAATAATAGACGCGGTTGACAACCATAGCAAATTTGGCCAGCCTGTTTGGCAATTTATGAGGGATTTGATTGTTGACACGATAGTTCACCACATCTACTTAGTAATTAGACAACCAACGATGTCAGGAACTATTCCATCAAATAATGTTAAAAATCTCGCAGTGCATTTAATTTTCTTTGAACTTGATAACAAATGACCCAATTTATTCAACTAAAGAGCTTCTCTCTCAATCTCAGTTTTATGTACACAGTACTAGATACTATTCACACAAAACACATGTGTTATGTACAGTATCTAGTATAACAATGTTGTTAGTCATTTTGCCAAACGTGGTAATTTCGGTAAATCATCACGGTAATGGCTACCAGTCTGGATATTTTAAGTGTGACAATTTTTATGATGCACGAATATGTATTCTAAAATTTAATTTTATAAATAAAATTATTAAACATATAAATGAAAGTTATTTATATTATTTAATTTATTTATTAGTAACTGAAGGCAAAACATACAACTTTTTTTCATTTGATGATAGATGGCGCTATTTTGAAAACTAAAACGCAGATCGTCGTCAAAATTTCATGCAAATCGATCGAGTGGATTTGAAATTCTAAACGAGACAGAAATTCTAAAAACCACTAATTTGGCTTCAGTACCCTTTATTTAGTCCCTTGGACTTGCTTTTTAAAGAGTATATTAGAATTACAGACACGACTTTTTTACACATTTATTATACGTTACAGGGTTATTTTTAAAAAACCAGCCAAATTTAATAATTAAGTTCAAAACATAAATACTGACATATAAACTTTTTGCATTTTTGAAAAATACGCGTAAATAAGGTTTCTACTTTTATTTGAAAATATCCGAAATTGAATGTGATTTATGGTCAACAACAGGTCTCGTGTGTGTACGAATCAATGCACGGAGCTTTTGCCTACTACTTACTTCACCAAGGCAGGCATAGGGCCGCCACGCCCACTCCACCTATTTTCATATTCGCTATCCAAATAATCGCGCACTGCACTTGAATAGTGAGGCGGAGCACCGTCGTTTTGGAAACAAAAATTATTCAGTAACTCTAGTGGTATATCGTCCAGGAAATCTTGAATAGCACCTTGTAACATGTCCAAATAATTACCACCCATTCCCAATCGTCTAATCAAAATTCCACCCAATCGTCTTCCAATGAAGTACGGGCCCACATTTATGTTATTTATAATTCCGGCCCAAACATTTTCACTAAATCGCACTTAATGGTAACGATATTTTATAGCATGTGGGTTGCATACTGCCCACTAACGTTCGTTGCGACTATTATAAAGCCATACGCAAATAGGGCGCCAATAGGGCTTCGTCAGTCCACATAATGTTAGTATTATCAATTTTTGACAACAACCATTCACAAAAATGTTTTCGAGGTAGACCATCGTTATTATTCAGTGCTTGCATACGTTGGTAATGAAATGGCTGATATCCAGAAGAATTCAGTAGTTTTCCCAGGTAGTAATGGCTGTGACAAGTAATATTACCTACGAAAATTTAAAAATAAGACACTCTTTACGTAATGAGCTCACGGTCAAGTCAACACTGTCGAGTGTCGGCTGGCCACAGCTAGGTGAACGTATCCAGCGAAGAGCGGTGTAATGGAAAGTAAAGGGCATTTGTTTTTACCGAGTCAAAATACGTAAATCTGTAACCGAGCGCGAGCGCCGAACGCCACCGACTGCTATCAAACTCAACACTCCCTTACGAATGTGTGCGTGCGTATAAAATAGTAGGTTAGTAGGCGCTTCATATTTGTGAATGACAAGCAATTAAAGTAATGCATTTCCACATTTTGAATTAAAGGATAAAAACGATAAAATGTGACAGTTTTTTTTTCTTGTTTATTTTTTTCACCATTCGCTTATATTATCTGTTCTGAACCATCTCTGCAAATTTGGCTGGTTATTGCAAAATAACCATGTATAGTTTTTATTTCTTTATACTTTACGTGGCATTGCAACGCATGCCGGATACAGCTAGTATTGAATGAGAAGAAGTATTTCCAAAATCGACTTCATGTTTTTAGCTTCATCCATTAATACATACATTAATGGATGAAGCTAAAAACATTGACTAGGTACTTCGTTAAAAACCTTATACTTACCTACTTTAACAGTTTTAAATACGCTGACTGGCAAAGAAAGATATATCCGTATAAGGTCCTTTTTACTCAAAAAATAAGTATTCATAAAATGTTTGCAGGATTATTACGTTAGCAGCCTCGTCATTCGGAATATATCATTCATTGTGTTGCCGATCGTGCTCACTTCGTGCCTTTTCCTTCGGCACGTTTTAAATTAACGACTCGTTTAGCATTCTGAATACATTTAGGCACAACCTTTTTTATTATTTTATCTCGCATTATTAATGCTAATATTTGGGACAGACCTAGTTTCAGTTGAATTTTTGTGATGATTCAGTATTCCATATTGATGATCTATCGAATGTGAAGTAGAAAATTTTAATTATAAATTTTAACTATAGCTATGCTTTATTATCATTATCATAAGAAGATTATAACTATGCTATATTATAATATTCATATGAAGTTGTATTTAATTCAATATAAGAACACTGCTTCAAATTGAAGCTGTCTTGCGTAGCGCACGGCGTCCGGTAATATTATGATAATTCTAAAATTGGCACTGTACGGGTCAAACCTGAAATTTGCTCGTTTTTTTTTTCATCAGCGTATATGTGCTAAATGCACAACATTTCTATTTTAATCAGAATTGTGGCAACATTCATTATCAAATAAAATTAATAATATTTATATTATATAAACAATAAAAATTTAATGCGGAATTCATTGATATCACTGTAAACTAAGTTTGCGCAAACTAATGTCCTGTTTGCTCACGCACAACCTCATAATAATTAATCTCTGCGATTCAAAAACAAATCTTTGTTCATAGATGGGGAATGGGCTTGTGATTTTATGGTGATGCGCACAGACGAACTCTGTTGGTATTGCAGCCAATAAATACCTGTCTCAATTTTTAAACAAAGAGAAATGTGATCAAAATATGCATTGGCATCTTTGACATTTGAAATGCCCTTACTACCAGTAGTTCATCTAATAACTAATTCACCCAATAACTTCACTGTAAACGTAGTTAATGTTGTTTACACCGAACTGCTACTTATAAGGAAAGTATTCGAAACAAGGGAACGATTTTCTTGTCTTTTAAAACAGAAAACATTATCATACACTATAGCTTATGTTATAGATTATGATAATGATTTCTGTTTTTAAAAGACAAGATAATAAAAAAAAGACTTATTTCGTCAATAATCATCACTATATAGTACTAAAACATAATTTAACTTTTAATAAAAAGTACAAACCTTCAAGAGGTAATAATTAGCACTTAGTCTTAGTAGTTAGTATGATTTTTTTAATTTAATTTATATGGACCATCCTTTAAGTCCAACCTATTTAAAAAAAATTGAATCGGTTCAGCCGTTTATGCTTAATCGGTGAATACACTTATAAAAAAAAAACATATGCGTCAAATACAGAATTTTCTCGTTTAATTGAACTTTGTTAAAAATAAATATAGTGAAAAAATATTCTAGTTGTTTCTAGCTTTGATATTGTGTTATATTTTTTTAAGTGAAAGAAGTGACGAACGAACTTATATGACGTTAAGTGGCTACTATACTCCATGTACACCTGCATCCATATTCATACAAAGAATGCTTCACATGCGTTGTAAACTCTGAAGCCTGTGATGCAATGTCTTACACCCTGTAATTATATCATACGAGCACTGCTATTTGGTGGCAGAAATAGGTAAGTGGGTGTTACCAACCCAAACGGACTCCGAGGCAGAAAACAAGCCCTACCACCAGCAAATGTTTAATTACTGTACATATTTTTAAATAAATAAAGTATAACATTAGTATAACGAACCTCAATATAACAATTTCCTCGATTTAACAAATTCTTAGAAATCCACTAGACCTGGCCGTAATAGTTAATACAAAATATACCTTTACATAACGAAAAACATTTGTGAAAACCCCTTTATAACGATTTTTTTAAATAATTGCAAAACATAGAAGGTATAATTAACCTCTGCATATAGTACCTATTCTACCAATCCATCTAACAAGAATTCACAGACGGATTCAGACACATTCAATTTATCGTAATAATCCATGAATTCAAACTGTCATAATAAAATAATGTTTAGTGTTGTAAGGCATTAATTACAATACGTTTAGCATTTTTTATGTTTGCTCATGTTGCTAAAACGAATCTTAGCAAACCTCATTCTAAGAAATTACTTGGAATAGGGAATATTTTCTAATCCCTTTGAGTTTTATTATATCAAGGTTGTATTGTATTACTTTTTATGGAAAATAATTGCAACTATTTATTTCTTTAACAGATCGTTGGCGACGTCGATGTAGGTCCAAGAGCATTAAACTACCCCTCGCCGCCATTATGCAGAGGTAAGTAACGAATTTCATTACAATGTTATCCCTGCGCCCCTAAAATTAATTCAACACGTTCCATTTCATTTTAACTTTCAATCTCACGTCTACTGTATTATAAAAGTAAGTTAAAAAGGATTTTTTTTTTAAATTGGCACTGGTTATAAAATCATATTATGACATCTCTACTTCTGAAGTAATACAAAAGTAAACATAACCAAATTGTGGCGGCCAAAAAAATCCATTGCCTTATTTCGTCCAATGGATATTATATCTAGGCATTCCGTGATAACACGTATAAAGATTATGTCTTGTATCACACTATTATTGTCGAAGTTATAGCTTTAAGTCATGATGTAATCCGTTGTGTTGTCCAATAAATAAATAAAAAATAGGATGCAAAAGGTGTGTACGATCCGGAATATATACTATGGTAAAACGGCCATGTTGGTGACGGGTAGCAACTAACAACGTCAAACGTTCGAGATATCACGTACGCGCCGCACTCGTCATTCTATAAGCCAACCGTGGCTGCGCAATATGAAAAATACTTTCTAAAAAGAGGAAGCCCAATATTTAGCAGTTAGCTGTTATTTATATTGTAAAAACTAAATTTTTTATCTATACAAATAAATAAAATTGAACTGTCTGTTTGTAATTTAAAAATTACAGCTTTTTACTAAATGCATATGAAAGTACAGTAAATACAGTAGGTACTAATAAAAAAATACAATTTTTAAAGTTTTTGACTGTCTGTCTGTCTGTCCGTCTGTCTGTCTATCTGTTTGTTCCGGCTAATCTCCGAAACGGCTGGACCGATTTTGACGGGATTTTCACTGGCAGATAGCCGATATCACAAGGAGTAACTTATGCTACTTTTATTTTAGAATAATAATTAGAGTTGCGAGCAAAAAAATTAAAACCCCAAATAACACGGGGGCGAAGTCGCGAGAATCTGCTAGTTGTAAATAAATCTATGCTCACAAAATGAAGAACGCGTTTACTGTCGCGATTATTACTGGCCTATTCACTTTGCACGGAATTAGCCAAGGTAGTGCTTAAAAGGAAACAATCTAAACAGAGAATGTAATTTGTTTTTTTATTTATAGAATAAGGATGACAAACGAGCACACAGTCCACCTGATGGTAAGTAGATGCTATGGCACATACACATCTATATTTATCTTCAATTAAGCATGAAACTGCAGATGTGTTTTCATATCCCTGAGGATTAAGATAGATTAACTCGTTTCCAGTAAAAAGGATTTCCGGTACTCTGCACTCACCGTACGAAACACAGCAGCATCAAGCTGCTATTTCAAGCTGGTATTCTATGAGAGCGTGGTCGTTCCCCGGTAGAGCCAACCCATTCGGTGTTACAAACAAAGTACTGCAGCATGGTTCTACTATGTAAAAAACGTAGACGCGTAGATTAAAATAATAGATTATAGCCAAAATTTAACTTGCCTAATCAAGTTGCAGTTATATGTATTAAATTACTTTATATTAAATTAAGTTATTTTATAGATTGTTGCAACGCTTGCGGGAGGTGGACTGGGTCCAAGTTCGACGAGATACCCATATTACTTTCACTAAGCTCATTCGAACCAAAGATCCGAGAGATTCAGAAAGTGCTCAAGAACTAACTGTGCCAACCAGACAACGTTTATCGGTATGTACTTGAACTTTAAGTATGAATAATTTATTTATTAATAGTTGAAAAGAACACTTTTTACCACTTTTTAAGTGTATTGCGCGTCTAGGGAAGAGTGAGATTTGGCATAGTTAAAGATAATAATATGGAGGAGTGCAAAAAGCTAAAATGTATTTATAATATGTAACACAAATACATTTAATAAAATATAATAAAAGGTCATTGCTTACGTTCATAATACTAATAGCAGCATAGATTAGAGATTATCGCCAGAAAAATTTAAAAATAAATGTTGCTAGCAGTAAAAATATTTCGAAGACATGTGAAGTCCGCCAAAATTACGTATTCGGAGTTAGGACAGCGCGATGGATACTTCCTTGCCACTTAATCCTCTCAGAAGTGAGATTTTTAGGGTGTATTTGAAAATGTTAACGACTAGAAATCAAACAATAAATACAATTTGGTTGTTAAGATAATATTTTATAAACAATTGGAATGTTTGGAATGTTTAGTAAATATTCCCAGTAACACAACCTTAGTATATACCCATTGTGTTGTTGTTGCTAAAGATACATTGAAACAAAATAATTTGAATGCTACGAGTATAATTAATTAAGGCGGAACAAAATTCATTACAGAACGGAGGTTGGCCAAATCGTACCAGACGATGAAACGATGGCGTCACTATATGAAATATTTATGAAAAATATCCTTATTTTTTAAGGTCTTAAAAACACAAAAAATACCTCTCTAAGTAGCCACAAAAAAAAGTTATCCTTTTATTTTTGTTTTTGTAACTTTTCCGAAATTATTTAAAGTAATGGTTTCTGAACGCACCTAATGATGATTCATTTCACGTATAAAAGGACTTTGTATTCAAAGACTAATTATTCACGTTTTTCTGAATAGTTGTTAATTGTAATTTAATTCAATTAGTATGTAGGCATCAAATCAACTACTATACTGATTTATTTGTACTGGATTCATGTCATAAAAATGATTATGTAGCTTCATAGTAAGCTAAGCGTTTTGTTCAATTACGTACAACGGGACATGATGTGTCATCATCAAGTTACATAATCTGTGGTCATCGATCGACATTGATTGTCACCCGGCAATCATCTACATATCTATATATCTTATTTGCTTCATTCGTTCTAGATTGTGATACGTACTGTACTATTTTAGATTTCCTTATGTTGTTTTAAACTCGGCATTGTTTTACGGACTGATAACTACCACTTGTAACGATTTTTCTGTGTTATTAATTTCTGGACACCAATTTTACATCTTGCATATTTGAGACAAGATGTATAAGAGACATCATGCAGACTACAGCTAGACAACAACGACAACTAGCCCTGCAATTGCTATGTGTTAATTGTAACATATGCATTGATACACTTCGCCGCCATCTCGTTTTTGAGCTTGATACCATAGTAATATCTAAGATCCGCGAGTGGAATTCTTCAATAATAGTACATATTTACATACCTAGTTATTTTATTACACTGACATAAGCCATCACACAATCGTACATCATAATACAAATCTAATTCTTATTTTATATCAATGAAGAAGATTACATATGTGATGCTAACTTCAAAAGTATTGTTGACGTTATTATAAAAAATTGTGGCTATTTAGATATGATTTTTATACGCGGTGGTGTTAAAACATAAAAATAAACTAATCTAGCTATAGCTTGTTTCGGGACATGAAAAATAAAAGTCAAGTCCAGCTCCTATAGAAATTTGGCCATTGTTCTTTCTCCAAATCGACTATAAATATTTATTAAAAGCTAAAGATATGTAGTGATGGCGTAAGAATATCCACTACCCGATATCGTCACGGGGTCTCGTAGAAGGTAACGGAGGGAATCAAAGCAGGAGATGGGGAGCAGAGTCTTTCTCATAACTACTAGAAAATACGAGTAAAACAACTGCGGTTGCTACTAGAACCAGTAGTTGGGACAATCTATGAGGGTGGCCTTTGTTGTTTTAAAAGTCCCGCTGGGTTTCTTGCTGGTCCTTCCCAGGACTTTTGATGGGCTGTATGTAAAGATTATAGGGATAATGGTAACGAGGAAATCGAGTGATTAAGCATTTTCATTTTTTTACTCTGCTGGGGATAGCTGTTTAGATGTGGTAGTTCAGGGTAGCCATTTTCCACCCCTACAAAGACCGCAATAGCCTTAAACCAATATAAAATCTTAACCTGGCGTGAGTTAAGGCTGTATATTGGTTTAGGCTTTATTTTATATATACTAGCTGTGGCCCGCGGCGTTACCTGCATGGATCCCAATCTTATAGGAATTTCCCAAAATCCCTCCTTATGTACGTCTAGCATAGCAATGTTTAATCCAAATTTAAAATCTCTAGACTCACTGGTTAATGTTGTTCTTTTTCTGTCAGTCAGTCATTCACTTACGGTAGAGATCGTCTAATTAAAAACTGCATACGCCTCCTGAGTATTGATCTCAGAACACAGTTACTCTCTACCGAGAGGTATTGATAATATGTTTTATCACATTTACCGTATAATCTGTCATGAATTCTTAATCAGCGTGTCCTTTGTATTGTATGCACAGAGAGCACCTATAATCCTACATAAATTGAATCAATGTACTTGTTCCGCTTTGTCTAAATCAATTTTTAAAATACAGCAAAAAGAGAACACTATTGGAATATGTTGCATGTAATTTTTTTTTTGTTTTTTTTTTTTATGGGAGAGGGGGCAAACGAGCATGCGGCTCACCTGATGGTAAGTGACTACCGCCGCCCATGAACAACTGCAACACCAGGGGAATCGCAGATGCGTTGCCGGCCTTTTAAAAAGGAGTACGCTCTTTTCTTGAAGGTCCCTAAGTCGTATCGGTCCGGAAAAATCGCTGATGGTAATCGATTCCACAAGGAGGTCGTGCGAGGAAGAAAACATCTTCTAAATCGCACAGTGGTGGACCGCCAATCATCCAGACGGTGTGGATGGTATCGGGAGTTCTGCCGCGATGTGCGTTCGTGAAATTTGGCGGCTGGGATTAATCCGAACTATTCCTCAGAGCACTCCCCATGGTAGATGCGAAAGAAAATGCAAAGGGATGCAACATCTCTTCGCAGTGCCAATGAATCGAGCCGATCGGAAAGGGCTCGGTCGTCGACAATTCGAGCCGCTCTGCGTTTGATGCGGTCAAGTGGAAGGAGCTGGCACTGGGGAGCCCCTGCCCAGAGATGGGAACAGTATTCCATGTGAGGCCGAACTTGCGCCTTGTAAAGTAGCAGGCGGTGTGCCGGCATGAAATACTGTCCCGCTCTGCTGAGCACGCCAAGCTTTTTAGAGGCCAATTTGGCCTTCCCTTCCAAGTGACCACGAAACTGCACGTCACTCGATATGTCGACTCCGAGGATACCGATACTGGCTGAGGCAAGAAGGGGAGTGCCTTGAAACTGAGGAGATACGACAAAGGGGTTCTTTTTAGCGGTAAACGCGCAAACTTGTGTCTTCTGAGGATTAAATTGGACTAGATTTAGTCGCCCCCAATCCGAGACTTTGTTCAGCAAAGACTCGACTTCAGACACAAGTTTGTTCCGGTACTCAGCGGCGTTTTCCCGAGAAATATTGGCACGGCCGGTGTATAGAGCATCACCAGTGCTGTCATCCGCATAGCAATGAATGTTACCAGTTAGCAACATATCATTGATATGCAGAAGAAACAGCGTTGGTGATAGCACACAGCCTTGTGGAACACCAGCGTTAATAGGCTTGTAGTCAGAGCATGCACCGTCTACAACGACCTTGATGCTCCGATCTGCAAGGAAGCTGGTGATCCAATTGCACAATTTCTCGGAAAGCCCATAGGAAGGGAGCTTCGAAAGAAGCGCTTTGTGCCAAACCCGATCGAAGGCCTTCGCAATGTCCAGACTAACGGCCAACGCCTCCCCCTTGGACTCTACTGCCTCCGCCCATCTATGGGTCAGGCAGACCAGAAGATCACCAGCTGATCGACCCCGATGAAAACCGTATTGGCGGTCACTAATCAGCTGGTGATGGTGATGAGCTGGCAGTTAATAATGGATTCCATTATTTTGGAGAACAAGGAGGTGATCGCGATAGGCTTATAGTTGGATGGGTCTGAGCGGTCGCCTTTTTTAGGGATCGGGTGGACAAAAGCTGTCTTCCATGAATTCGGGACTACGCCTTGGGAGTAGGAGTACCGGAAAAGACGCGTTAGGACCGGTGCCAACTCCGGAGCACACGTCCTCAGCACAATTGGGGGGATTTCGTCAGGCCCACTCGACTTCTGGATGTCCAGGGAGAGCAGTGCTTTGCGAACCGAGCGCTGTAAGAACAGCACATCCGGCATGGAGCACTCACACCGCGGGATGGTCGGCGGTGTTTTTCCCCCGTCATCAAGAGTCGAGTTAGACGCAAAAAGGGAGCCTAAAAGGTCGGCTTTGTCTTTTGCGTCATGGGCCAGTGAGTCATCCTCCCTGTGCAGAGATGGTAGTGATGGCTTACAGAAATTCCCTTGGACAGCCTTGGCGAGAGACCAGAATGCACGGGTTCCCGAAGGAAGGCGAACTAGTTTCTCGCCAATTCTGACTATGTGCTCTGACTTTGCCTTGGCAATAACTCTTTTGAAGGACCTGGAGGCGAAGTTATACTTCTTTTTAAGTATGCTGGTATTTACATCCCGAGTCGCCGAAGCCCAGCCCAGGCTTGATAACACTCCTGCTTACTGCGTAATGCAGTCTTACAGGAGCGACCAAACCAAGGCTGAGATCTGCCTCCGATGGGTACCACAGATGATGGAATAAATAGTTCCATTCCCTGTAGCACCACATCAGTGATGTGGTGCTACAGGGATGAATTTGTGCGTAGAGCTTATAAAGACAAGTGGACATCTTTGGTCTCTTTATACTTTGTCAAATATGAGACTAATGGGAGAAAGAGACTGTCCCACGTACGCAACGTATGCGTTGCAACGCTCTCACATTGGTGTACACACTTGACCTACGTATGCAACGTACGTTTGGCGTCAGACACTCTTAGCGGACGCACGAGTACAAACTTAATGCATGTTTTCTAATTCTGGGAGTAAGTTTGAGAATGATTTATTTAGTCTGATGTTCATAAATGAATACATCCACGCCATAAAGAAAAGTAAAAATGTTAAGAAGCAAAGGAATATATTGGTTTCATGGAACTGGAAAATGATGACTAACTATTTTTTCTGTCCTTTCGTTTGAATTATATAAAAAAAGAAAATACACATTTACCGAAGTCTATTGGTACCAGAGAAAGCCTCGCTCGTGATGTGTAAAATTAACACTACTTATTTTCCAATAACATTTAGAGATATTTAGTTTTATGTGTCTCCTGAAAAATTAAGACGCAATGAATATGATACTTTTATGGTGGAGGTCAGGATTATTGTTCACGAATTTGTGCGCAAGCACATATGAACTTTTTATTTCCTCACTCCCATAGTCTGATGGGATGGTAAAGCGACACGAATATAGAGAGATCACACCCAAAACCAACGGCTTTGTACGTCCTTTCTGAAGCACAGGCGTAAAATACTCCCAGTTGCTACTGAAAATTTCTTGATAGAAAAGCCATCAGATTTTGGGCACGATCACACCTATTACGCAAGGGGTGAAGAACTGTCCTTGGTTGAGTGTAGTTTTATTTTTTATTTGTTTCTAGGTAAAGGCGTAATATAGATACTTACGTAATTTTCTTCATTTATATATTATATCTAAGTATTTAATTTTAAGTAGGCATTGGATGATACTTTACATTTAAAATATATTTTTTTAATATTGAAGGCAATAAGGTACCACTGTAGTACCAATAATTGGAGATTGACCTTGCTTATTTAGGGCAATCTCTTATCTGTTGTATGTGTACCAATTTTTGACTTCATAAATTCGGAAGCAAATGTGTTGTGAATTACGTTATTCCGGCCATTTTGTTGTATTTTACAATATCGAACACAAGCGTATAGTTTAACCAATAATATTATAAGTACATTCGTAATGCCTTACTGAATCGATGAGCTGTTCATTTTCCATTTTGGCAACAAAACGCGTGCACGGTGCAAGTGTCTACTTGTTTATGACGTGCTCCGCGTAAGTTCTAAGAACAAACTGGTCGCCCGCCTATAGGATTGCGTACGAACATCCTTCCTACCTTCCCACACCGATCTAGACATCGCAGATTGACGTTGCGTCGGACGCGAGTGATTGCGTTGCATACGATAAGTGTGATTCTAATGCATAGTTTTTCATACAAAATCAAGACTCCAGACGTCATGATTTTTTGTATACGTTGGGTACGTGGGTCCATTCTGTCTCTACCTTAGTATACATATATCTTCTGATTTACTAAAAAAATAACATTAACAAGAATTGACATCGATATATTCGTTTTTATTTATTTATTAGAGTTTATTCTTTAATAATTGTTTCATGTATAGCACACGGTATGAAAAATAGATGGGTAGTGAAATCAAGTGTAGTAAGTAAAATCGCAAATAATAACAACTTACAGAAAAATAATTGTGTTTTATGTTTCAATAGCTGCAAACTCACATTCTTCGAAACATACAGGGTTCCGGTGGAACTAAAATCATAAAATTTAGCACGAAGTAAGGTCTATTAAGCTACATCTGCAGATGAAGCCACGATCATGATGTAGATCTATGTACCAGGCCAACTAACTTTAAGTTTCTCCTTTCAGGATCTAGACTTACGAGAAATATCTTCGAAATAAAGTAATAAATTGCTATAATTTAAACTGGACCAGCAGTTGGACAAATGCCACTAATAATCCACATTATTATGATTTCCATTTATTTGTCATTTAATTTTCTTCACTTATTTATCATGTATAGGTTCAAAATTACAGTAAAAATATATTATTTTATAATTTATAGAGAAAGTAAGTTTTCTGTGGTTAATATTTTGCACCGAATCGAAATACGGTAACTAAAAAAAATAAGTTTTCTTGTGACTTTTCTAAAGAAAACTACCAGTTCAAGGAAACAACTAAAATGTCGTCTAAATAATTATATTAAAAACTTCTTCGCTTATTTTTCCCCTACGGAATTTATTCTTAAGAATCAAATAGGACTTTCCCTGAGTTGTAAACCTTATTAATAAAAAAAAATCATTTAAATCGCTTTAGCCGTATTCGAAAAATCGATGAACGTAATTAAGAAAAACATGTGTCGGGTAAACTTCTTCGAATAACTTCTTTTTTAACTCAGTTATTACGGCTGTCGACATCATTCTATAAAATACCTTCATGAGTTAAAACTAAATTTAAATTTCTTGGCACACTATCTTAATATCAAAAATCTAGTTTTCAGTTAGCCTAAACGTTAAATTTGAAAGAGTGTACAGGGTAAGGTTAAAGGTACCTATAGATTTCTAAGAAATATATAATTTACTACTTATTATTATATTCCAAGGTCACGGGGGGATTAAAGTACCTAATTGACGTTCTCTCTAATATCTTTACTTTATTATACAATCTTCGCAGATCTACGTTCTACCGTTACAATAATTTTCCATGTTACCTGATCATAATTACTATATTATATTGCAATAAAAAAAGAACTTCTTCGTTTATAATTAGCTTATTCCTTTCCAGAAATATTTAAACTTTCATAACATAACATTAATAGAGATAGAAATTTTATTGGAGTTCAGACATACGACTAAACGATAACAAATGGGTATTTTTAATATACAAAAACTGCAAATATTTTTTTTATAAAATAAGAGTGACAAACGAGCACACAGTCCACCTGATGGTAAGTGGTTGCTGTAGGCCATAGACATCTATATCTATCTTAGTTTGCGAATTAAAACGCAGATGCGTTGTCAGCCGTGAGGACTAAGACAAAATGCCTATTTTCCAGTAAAATGGGTCTCCGGTTATCTACACTCACCATACGAAACACAGCAGTGTTAATCTGCTATTTTACGCTGGTATTCTGTGAGAGCGTGGTCCTTCCCCGATCTAGCCCACCCATTCGTGCTACAACTATACTCTTAATATAGCTGCAGCATGGCTCAACTACGTGTGTATAGCTGCAGCATGGCTCTACCACGAAAAATATTTTATAAATCAAGGTTAGACGTGGAGCCGTGGTATCTCAGGCTCAGGGGATAAGCACTCAGAGATGTCAATTCTATGGTAATTGATACGTAAAGTTTTAATGTATATAAAATATTTTGCTGGTAAATAAATACAAAAAAAAATATCTCGCAAAAAGAGTTCCAATTAAAAACTTTTTTTTCCAACAGCGATGTCTAACCACAATGGACCTCACGTCACTCGGGGTCGGATCTTGCGTCGGCACTGGGATGTACTTAGTGACCGGTATGGTTGCTAGCAAGTTTGCGGGGCCTGGTGTAGCTTTAAGCTTCATTATCGCAGCAGTAGCTAGTGTTTTTTCTGGTAAGTAATACACCAGTTTAAATTTTGTCTTTAATTTTATTACGTTTCTATTATTGTGATTTTAACGAACTTGCAGTTCATCTTCATCGTAGTCGAAAATACCATTACATTTCCTTAAAAATCCTATTCAGCTCTAAATGATTCACACGTACATCCCCTATATAATTAAACTAGAAGCAAAAGCCCTTTCATTTCCTTTAAAATAAGTTTAAAAAGTAGGTACATCATAATTTATTTTATATACACACCTTTTTTAGTGTTATAATATCTAAATATCTGATTAGGTAATTTTATAGAAAAAGTGGTATTTCCTTTACTTTTCGTTATTTTACAGATTTTTTTTTCAATATTTTGCCTTATTATCAATATAGTGGACATATATATTTGGTATGAATATACGAATATGTGTTGTTGTGTTGAATTGGACATGAGTTGCATTGTTAGTTTTTGTTAAACGGAGTCCAGTCATAAGAGTGATTAGAAATATTTTGTTTTAGGTATAAACACATAAACTAATATAAAAATAATTCCTTTGAATTTAAAATTGAATCAGATCAGGATGTTGCAATGGTTTTTCAGAAATATTTTACTGATGATCCGATCTTAATCACTAAGTCACTGAGTTCTTCTCCTGTCTTATTATATTTATATAAATTACTTCGAACTGCTTTTTTTAAAAAATACGTTAACAAAATGCCAAAATATGATATTTATGATTCTTAAAAATATATAAAATAATTTTGTAACTTACATTTTGTTTTACCTTTATACGCATCATCTCCACTGCGGACTGCTTTGAAGATTTACCCTCCTTCACCTATTTTAGGCACGCGATGAGAGGGTTTAGTGTGGGCACTCTCATACCGTTATTGATACTTCCATAGTTCCATATTCGCTTATTGGCATTTAAGTTTAATATATTTAGATGGGCAACATTTTTAAAGTCATGTTAAAAATTTAATATACAAAATACATTTTGTTGTGGCGACGATTACTTACGCCGGTTAATCAAATGACGATTTTAGTAAACCTGTCTCAAATTGTGTACCTTGCGTGAGTATGAACATGCAGGGCAGCCCAACATATTATGTGCCATTGTTTCTAACGCTGAATCGTTTGCTGAGTACGTTGGTTAGTTAAAAGTCTACATTCAACCATACAAGAAATTGTATTTTTTAATCTCGTTTACCTTAAAATGTTAAAACAAATGTACCTATATAATTAGCGCGTATTGCCCGTAGTGATTTATGGGTTCCGTAGACATGTCTTTCTGGCTGTATGGGGAAACTACTGAAAATCATTCAGCGAGTTATCGGAACGGACGGAACTTTCTTGGTGAGACATGAAGTGGTAATGGTTTGGTCATAAAGATAAAAGAAATAAATACCGATGTGGAAGAAACGAGAACCGGCAGCATGGTTATAGCAAGCGCAGTGATTGCCGATGTCCATTTAGATACAGTGTTATCTTACTGAATCACGCATGTCGTTAATGTATGCAGGTAGCATAGGAAAATGTTTTGTCTTTGTTGACACCTGTAGGAGCCTACTGGCTCGTTGTTCCATTTATCATAAGCGCGACTGCTGATAATGTGGTCCCAGGTTGGTTGGTCATGCCACCACATATTTTCTACAGCAGCCTACTTATGCGCCTCAAATTATAACTATAATTAGTGAATAAACTTTAATTATGCTACTACAGTGCGATTTACCACTAAGGACCCACCAGGCGGGATAGGAAAAAGGACTGGCTGGTAATGAGTAAATAAAAATATGGATAAAAATTTTGGAAAATCCAAAAGTGTACACCTAGAACGCCCGTATAATGTTTTCAATAATTAATTTACTGTTATTAATTACCGAACATGTATTTCATTTAAAGCTACAAAAAATTGTTTACGTATTTTGTTTCTGAAAAAAAAAGTCAAATTATGAATAAAATAAAAGAATAAGTTTAAAATCTAAAGCTAATAAAAGAAACAGTGATGTTCAGTTTTTAAAAGATATCTTGTTCACATCCATACCGACCAAGTGAAATTGTTTTCAAATAACTTCTTTTAATAATATTCGAAATAACAATCTTATAAGTACGTCAGAAGTATTAATTGAAATCTCCTCTTGCTATTTGTGTACTTGTTTTTTTTTATTTAAGTGCAATATAAAGCTGGTGAAAGTGATTTAAGTTGAGGGTATCGCGATTTTTTAATTTTGGTTATTGTATGTCACAAGCGAATATTTTAGATATAACAGGCTGTTATTATAGAATCACCATTAGCCTAAGGAGTATTAACTTTGGCATGTTTAAGCTGAATTACTACTACAAATGGAATGGAAAAATGAAAGTAGCTGACATGACATATCAAGGCAGCCATTTCCACGGCAGTATGAGTGAATTTTTGCTTGTGGAATTTATAGTCTATTACTTATTTTCAGCGTTTCACAGCCATTTAATATATTTTTTGAATATTTAATAAATATATCCTATGCTATGGTATATAGGAATTGATAAAAAAATTTGAAACATATAAAATACGAATCTATAAAAAACATTGTGAATTTTCATAAATGTTGAAATACAATCAAACATTGTCATCTATCTTCGATTGTGTTCTTTTTTAAGAAGCATTGCCTGAACAACTTCAAAGCGTTTTCCTTCAGCCATTGTATCGTGATGTTAATGAGGACGATTCAATTGACGCCTCGGTGTAGCTTAGAAATGAGTTGCAGCGCTGGGGGCCGCGGGATCGAATGGCGCACGGAACAAGTATTTGTATGGCCTACAAATAATTGTTCCGGGTCTGGCTGTTTGTCCTTGTGCAATTTATGTTTGTAAACTGCCTCCACGATACAGGAGAAAATGCTAGTGTGGAAGTAACGTTTATCTAAATAAAAAAAAAATTAAAAAATTCGTCCTTTATTTTAAATGTTCATCTTTCAAATTGTATATTGTAAATCCACAAATAAACAATATTTAGGGATATTTTACGTTTATTAGGATTACTTGAAAAGTACTGGCCATATTAAAAATATTTAATTATCAATTTCATTCTGGCCAATTTCTTTGCCGTGTTTATTCAGTTAAAAAAAGACTGCGGAGGCGAAAAAATTCTATTGACCTTTTTTCTTTTTCTTTATGGACTCGTACCGTAATACTTTTACCACTGTCAACATAAAATGAAAATGTAAAAAAATATCCTTTATAATATTATTTTATAATTAATAGAATCAGGCGTAACTTTGCGTAAATCCATTATATAAAAGGTTTTAAAAAGTTATTTCACAAACATCCGCTCTATAAGATAAAATGATGTGTCTTACCTAGTACCGGGAGGTGCTCTTCATACTAGGTATGACACATCATTTTATTTTATAAAGCGGATGTTTGCGAAATAACTTTTTAAAACCTTTTATAATATTATTTTATTTAAAAACTTCTTCACAGTGTGCTGATGCCGTCATATTGCAAAGTTTTTGTAAAATTTCGACGTCAGCTTAACCTAGCGGACATTAAGACTCGGTTCGACATTACACTATACCAGCAAATAAAAGAGAAATGAACTTGATTATGGCTCTCCTGAAATCTAAAGATTTTCTCTACTCTACCTAGTAGTAGTGGTTTCGCCGGTTGTACATGCCGTTATTAGAGAAATTGGTTTCGTCAGACTATAAAATGTAATTTAGAAATCATTATATATTTTTATTTCTTCTTAACCAGCTGCAAAAGGATTTTTTTCGAATGTTATCTCAAGAATGTAATGATTGAACTATGCGTCCCTACCGATAACATAAATATCCGTATTTTCCACCTACTTATCGCCCATTTCGCGAGCGAAATCTCCCGACGATGTCTCTGGATAGGCTGTCATAAGTGTCAAAATTGAAATCACCGTCTTTCCTCCTGTGCACGTGACTGTCGTACAAACTTTTTTTGAACGAAACACCCATCAAAGTTCTGCAATAGGTTCGTAATTCCCTCACCATTCCTTAGTAACTTTTATAGTTGGCACTTACTACATTAGGTATTTGTTCCCACACCACCTCAATGCAGCTGGCGGTTTTTATTATTTACAAAATACGCCTCATAAGTCCAAACATTGTCGATTTGAGAATATTTTTAGACTTTTGTTTTCAAAGCAAATTTAACATTGACGTGTATTATTTCGAAGTTCGAAAATTATTTTTTGTTTGTATTGCAACCAACTCCTTATAGGACGTAGTTACATTTTTGACGTGCTCGAATTTAGATATTCGTATTGCAAGCTGACTTACGCATGCTCACATTAAAACAGTTTTCCGCTATGTTTTATATATTATACCTAACTAAAGTTTATACTTGCTTAGAACAACAAAGAAAAAAAGATGGAGCGCTGCAAACATTTTAAGTAAAGCTGAAACCATGCTCAACTTCTTGATACGCACCCTCGCATACATCTTTTTTTCTTTTTTTTTCTTTATCACCCCGTAAAAGTTTACTGATAGATGCACACTTGGATGCATCTAAAACCATGTTAATGGTTGCAAATGATTTTAAGTGCATACATGTATGTGAGTGCGTGTTCTTGAAATAAAGTGAGCATGGTTTTGGCTTGGTTTTTGCATCCCTTGAAATGTGTTCTGTTTTTCTTTCTTTGTTGGTATGAGGATACTTGAAGTATTGTTAATTTTACAAGTATTAAGGAAAGTCAGTTGGCGAAACTTTAGAATCGCATTTGGTATCTGACATGATAATAATCTTTATATTATTTGTAAATTTGAGAGTAGCGTGCGGGTTCAGCATTATTAAAAAAATAATTTTGTATACGATACCATCAACACGAGTGGGCTTACGGCTGTTTTACCGTACATGTACCAATTGTATGTGCATGTGTGAGTAAGGAATTCATTTTTAAAAAAAATCAAAAATAAAACATGTAAATGTTTGCTTTTACACGTTCTTCCATCGGTGTTTTATTTGTTTGTAAGCTAAGATATCTTCGATTCATATATCTCGCATATCAACTA